TCCCGTCCTCCTCCGCCTCCTCCTCATCCTCCTCCTCATCATCATTATCCTGCTCCTCCTGCTCCTCCTCCTCCTCGTTCTCCTCCTCCTCCTCCTCCTCCTCCTCCTCTACAGCCTCCTCCTCCTCCTTCTTCTCCTCCTCCTCTTCACCTCCTCCTCTTCCAACCCCTCCTCCTCCTTCTCCTCCTACCCCTTCCGCAATGACCACCTGCGCCAGAGCACGCCGCGCAATGGTCCCCCCGCCTCCTCCTTCCCCCCCCTTCCCCACCCACGCGGAGGCGGAGGCGGAGAAGCGGGGGGCGGGCGGGGGCACAAGCAAGCGCAGTGGGAGGGAGGATGGGGGGGGGGGGGGGGGAAGAGCGCGGGCAGCGGCAGCGGTAGACCCACGCGCGCTCTTACGCCGCCCACGCGCGGGGACACATGGGCGTGCGCGCACAGCCTGGGGCAGCAGGCTCGCGACGTCGTGCCTGACGAGCAGAGGCCCTGGGTCTCCGGCGCCCTGGATCTCCAGCGTCGCGAGAAAACATCGCGAAGGCGGGTCGAGAAGGCGGGCTTTTGGCGGCCATGTCGAGCAGGCGGGTTGCTGAAGCGTGCATCTTGTGAAGTATCGAGCGATAGCGCGATTCCCAAGAGAATCGCGAGGACAATTGACAGCGAGAGCGTGATTCCGGAGTGTCGAGGGCGCCGTGTTTGAATAGATTGCGCGGACGTCCCACGCGAGAGCACGATTCCTGCAGAACTTGTGAGGATGTCCCGCGCGAAATCGCGATTTGGGAATACATAATGAGGAAGTGTCAGGCGGGAGCCGCTGCGGTTGGAAACTGTGGGCCGAAGACATAGTTTGATGATAAGGTGGCATGTTCGTCGAGCTCTCTTGAGCAACAAAATCCCATTGGATGTATGGTTTGGGTTTCAAGTGGACCTCTTCCGTCCCTCGACCTCCTCCGTCGTCGCGCTTCCCACGAAGAAGATGTTACGCAGCGGCGGCCGCCGCCGAGGCCGCGCCGCGGCGGCGCCTGCCGCATGGGAGGCTTTGAAGGCGGAAGTTCAGGTTTCTTTGTTACAGCCAGAATCGTATGTTGCACATGGTGGGCTCGTTTGCACTCGCGCCACTGTGCGCATACCAAGGGCTGCTGACGCCAGTGCGTGCGTTTTGCTGGACGCGGCGCCGACCGCAGCCTTCCACTGCCTGCAATGGCGGTCGCATTTTTAGGTTCAAAAAGAGAAAGAGAGAGAGAGAGAAAGAGAGAGAGAGAGAGACAGAGAGAGAGAGAGAGAGAGCGAGAGAAGGAGAGAGAGAGAGAGAGAGCGAGAGAGAGAGAGAGAGCGAGAGAGAGAGGGAGAGAGAAACAGAGAGAGAGAGAGCGAGAGAGAGAGAGAGAGAGCGAGAGAGGAGAGAGAACACATAGAAAAAAGAGGCCCGCCAACACAGGAGCTCGTGGTGTCCTCGGCCGAGGGGAACGGCGGCGCGGCCCAGGGCAGCGGCTCCCTGCGGGCGGGTCTCGGTGTCTTCGCCGTGGCCGCGGCGGCCCTCTCGCTGGGCAGCGGCCACGGCGTGAGTGCTGGCCATGGGTGGGGTAGGGGGAGGGGGAGGGGGAGGAGGAGGAGGAGGGGGAGGGGGAGGAGGACGAGGAGAGGAGGAGGAGTAGGAGGAGGAGGCAGGGGACGAGAGGAGGAGGAGGAGGAGGAGAAGGAGAAGTAGGAGAGGAGGAGGCGGAGGAGGAGGAGGAGGAGGAGGAGGAATAGGAGGAGAAGAAGAAGGAGGAGGAGGAGGAGAAGGATAACTAGGAGGAGGAGGAGGAGGAGGAGGCGGAGGCGGAGGCGGAGGCGGAGGAGGAGGAGGAGGAGGAGGAGAAGGAGGAATAGGAGGAGGAGGCGGAGGAGGAGGATGAGGAGGAGGAGGGGGATGAATATATGAGGAGGGATGATGAGAAGGCCGAGGATAACACATAGAACAACAACAAAACAAACCAAACAAAACCGAGTAGGAGGAGTAGGAGGAGTAGGAGGAGGGCCTGGGCAAAGCCAGGATGCAGCAACTATGCCGCATTACAACGGATCGTCTCAAAATGCTTTTTCATGAGTTGAGGGAAGCGCCCCTTCAAAGGCGAGAGCCCTATGGATCTGCCCACCTTCCCCGCCTCTCTAGCCATACGAATTACACAAGCGTCACACAGTTCGAATAAGTGTCCGTCATCGACCCAGGCTGACAAGAACACGTCATCCATCTGCGCAACCTTGACTGCATGTATGTCGAATTGCGGAAGTATTTGGCGAGAGCAATATGCTGTACATGAGCCGCCCCCGTTCGCATGACTTTGCTACAACGTGTAAGGGCGACTCTTGCACGCGTTTCAGACGAATGCAATCGACGCTCGGGCGAGAGGCACAAAACAAACCACCCTGTCCCCGTATCCGTATAGCGAGGAGGACGTCTGAGGCGACACGGACGGCCCGCCCTACTGAGGGTGTTGAATGGGTGGAGGGGGACTGTTGGAAGGGATGAGGGAGGAAAAGGAGGATGAGGACGGAGGCTTGTTCTCGCTGCAGCCTGGCGTGGTCAGCAAAACGCTGGCTGGATGGAAAATGGCGGAGGACGGAGCGGGGGAGGAGGGAGTAGGGAGTGGACAGATATGGGCAGGAGGAGGGGTTGGAGGAGTGGATGGGGGGGAGGAGGAGGAGGAGGAGGAGGAGGAGGAGGAGGAGGAGGAGGAGGAGGAGGAGGAGGAGGAGGAGGAGGAGAGGAGTCGGGAAGGGGGGGGGAGGGAGAGCGGGGCGGAGGAAGACAGATGCGGTGGAGGCTGCAAAGGGGAGGAGGGAAGGAGTGGACGTGGCCCCGATGCGCCGACCTGCGGGGTCCGAGGAAGAGCAGGCCGAGGAGGAGGAGGAGCGAGGATACCCACGCGTGGGCGGGCGCCCTCTGCACTGCATGACTGCTGGGTCTGCGCCGCTGCTCGCAGGAACAGCGGCGCTGCGGCTCCAGTGGGCAACTCGCGATCAAGGAGGCTGCTGCTGATTCCGCCTGCCCCGCTACACCCTCAAATCATTTCACATCCCAGATATCGGGCGTCTCGACAAAATCGAGACGAAGGTTGTTCGTCGTTTTTGGCCTCTCGGGGCCCTCGCTGGGCCTCGGGACCGTCAAAAAACGACTCGGGATGAAGAACTGGTCCCAGGGAAGTGGTCGGGATGTCGGGGGCCCGCGTCTCGAAAAAATCGAGACGTCGGATGTCTGGTATATTCTTAACGGCCCGTCTTTCGGGCAAGTTGTCACGATTCGGTATACTTGTACAGCGGTTGGCACCTTGGCCTCGGAGAGAGAGGGGACCTAGAGGAGGAAGAGGAGGAGGAGGAGGAGGAGGAGGCGGAGGACGAAGAGAGACGAAGAGAGACGGAGAGGAGGGGTCGCTGAGTGTCTGGACGTGGTTTCTGATGTGGGAACTCTGCCAGCTGCACGCATGTTAATCCAAAAGCATAGATTTCCCTACGCATGAAACTTCACACGCACAGTGCTCCACCAACACACACCAACCCAACCACCCGCCCCCCCCCACCCACCCACCCACCCACCCACCTACGATACAAGACCAGTTCCGCGGAGGACCGGTTCCGCCGCGACCCGTTCCGCCGAGGACCAATTCCGCCGAGACTGGTTCCGCCGAAGACCTGTCCTAGACATCCGACGTCTCGATTTTTTCGAGACGCGGGCCCCCGACCTCCCGACCACTTCCCTGGGACCGGTTCTTCATCCCGGGTCGTTTTTTGACGGTCCCGAGGCCCGGCAAGGGCCCCCAGAGGTCAAAAACGACGAAAAACCTCCGTCTCGATTTTTTCGAGACGCCCGATATCTGGGGTTGCACCGAGGACCAGTTCCGCCGAGAACCGGTTCCGCCGAGGACCGGTTCCGCCGAGGGCCAGTTCCGCCGAAGTTCGCTTCCGCCGCGCGAGGCGCGCGGCGGCCACGGCCTGAGCGTTGGCCGCGGCGGAGGCGGACCGGCGGAACAGGGCTGGCAAACAGGACCGGGCGAAACAGGGCCGCGGCGGAAGCGGACCAGGCGGAAGCGGACGCGGCGGAAGAGGACCGGGCAAAACAGGCATTCGGCAGAACAGGCCATGTGCGGAAAAGGCCCTCGGCGGAACAGGGCCTCGGCGGAACATGCCTTCGGCGGAAAAGTGCTCGCGCAAGTAGTAGTGTCGACAACGCGTAAGATGACCCTTGGCCAGAGTGACCTTTGGTGCTGGCCCATAGGAGGTCAGGTGAGTTGTCTCGTGGAATGAGCTCGACCTCGCGTCGGCACCCGAATCTCGCGATTACGCTCGCATCTGAGCGCGCCAGGTCTGGGCCCGCCCCTTGCAGTCAGCAGCAACGCGTGCGCGTCGCACCCTACAGCTTGCATTGGTTACCCGAAGGGGGGGCAGGTAACCCAGATGGCGCGTTTTCTGGCCCAGGACCAGTCCTGAATCCCAACCCAAAACCCAAAACGTCTGGCTTGAACATCTTTGGATATATGTGGATATATTTGAGTATCTTTGAATATTTTTGAATATTATCCATTACAGGAGTTCTAAGTCAACCCCTTCTAATTAGTTTGTTCCCCCCTAATTCTTATGCCCCCCCTTAATTCCGATGGCGATGCCTACGCCTATGCCACTGCTTCCCCCCAAACTCCCATGCCTACGCCTATGGCGTTGACTTCTTGCTTGCTTGCTTGCTTGCTTGCTTGCTTGCTTGCTTGCTTGCGCTTGCACGCTTGCACGCTTGTTTGCGCGCTTGCGCGCACGGTCGGTTACTTGCTGAGTTGCGGATCCCGAGCAATGTTCGATTCTTCTGATTCCTTGATTTGAGTCGTCTAATCTGTTTGGAGTCAACGCTGGTTGATATGTTTGAATCTGTTTTCGAACCAATAGGGATCTTTAGTATTATACGCTACCCAAAGATATCCAAACACATTCCAGGCTCTCAGGTGGGGCCAGTTTTGGCCATGACGCTGGGCTTGGTG